GTTCGGCCGCATTTTCGTCCATTTCAGATGGAGTTTATGGTAGCGAAAATCTACCATCATAGAGAATGACGCACAACATATAAACATTATTCTTAATAAATTATGGTGTTCTAGATTGGATTCGAGTCCGAATCCCAATTCCTGTTAGGCTGACCTCATTTTACTATAAAATAAAAATTTTAAAGTTTTTATGAAATGATAGCTGAAAATTATGGCATAATATTATTTTTCTAACTTTATGAATTCAGTTTCGTCTTCATTTCGAATAAGATTACAGTATTTTTAGTTTTAGTGACAGTACTTTGCTGTATAGTTAAAACTTTTTATTAATTTTTACTTAATTTAAAATATTGCGTTTGATTCATCTACTTTTTCAATTATTTCTTATAAATAAAAATGCATATTTTGACGGACTTCTGAGCAAATTTCGGGATTCTTGATATTATGATAAGTTTCTCCTTTATCCCTGGACTATAAGATATTACAGTCGATTCTGCCTTGCCTATAATAGTCATGGGTAATGTTATCAGTCGATTAATGTTATCAAAATTAGCGGGTTCCAAACAAATTATAAGACATTATAAAAAATTTGTTTGTTGTGATCAGAATGCAATTATTTTTTATGCTTTCTTTCCTGCTAGCAACCTCAACATGTGGCATTATTGTCATGGTCTCAATCAGTGCTTTAATTTAATTATTTTAAATGTTTTTTCTCAATACAATAGCTTAAATTGCTGGCATTACGCTAGCTGTTGTTGAAGTTAATAGCAGACAAACAATACTGGAAGAATTATTAATTAATTAATTAATAATAATTATTTTTTTATATTTTCTTGATTAAGAAATAGAAAATGATAGTAATAAATTAAATACAATGTTAAAAGTTTCCTCAAAATTAAAGTCTTGAGACAAGATAATGGAAATATACCGGCAGATCTGGGAAACTTTTAAATATGCAGTTGATTCCGCTTATTGAATCACTTTGAGACTCGGCTAAACTAAAACATTACGCAAGGTAAATACTGTAATTAGAGGAAATTCTACTTTTATTGACTCTATTATAAGAATTTAAAAATATATAACTTGAAGATTTATTAATTATAATAATAATGTCTCAAGACTTTCATTTAATTTTGAGGAAACTTTTAAGATTGTATTTAACTTATTACTATCATTTTCTATTTCTTAATCAAGAAAATATTGTCAAAATAATTTGATAAACTTCGTGTTTTAATACTAAATTTTGCATATATCTACGATAAAAAGTTCATGTTAATCTGAAAAACTCGTACAGATTATATTATAAATTGTTATTTTTTTACTACAAACATTTGAATGCTATTGTGCTGTATTGTAAATTAATATATATTCAAATCTCGATTTAGCATCACCATTTTCTGTTTTTCTTCTGGAATAAGCACTAAACCAAGTGTGAAACTACAGTGCCTTGCCAAATTATTAGACCCGTGCAAAAAATTGAGTTGTTAGTTTTTGATGTAATAATTCAATAAAAATGCAATTGTTCATAGGATTGTTTAAAATATTGATGTTTTATTATGTCTTATGAAATAAAAAGTAAGTTTTTGCTTATAAAAATTCAAATATAATAGAACTTGAAATATTAAAGTGAAAATTAATGTTTTGAATGATCATCTTTAACAGCCAGTAGTGCTTCTATATTACAAAGAATACCCTTTATACATTTTTTTATTTTTTTCATAAATGGGGCTATGCAGCCACATTTTACCAAGAACCTCTATCATTTACCTTTTTGTACTTTACCGTTTTTTTACATTTACATGTTGCCATATTTTTTATATGGCAACATATAAATATAAAAAAAATAATTTATAAAAATTAATAAAAATTATTTTAAAAAAGTTATTTAAAATGTTTGGGATATAATAGAAAATAAGAATAACATGAAAAATACGAATTCCTTAAAAATATTACGAAAAACAGAAAAGAAAAAAGTATGATTTTAGTCAATGGGTCTAATAATCTGGCAAGATAATGTAAAACCAAATTAACTGAAATAATAATAATACTCATAATTATCTATAGTAGTAATATATATATATAAGTTAGTGTTTGAGAGTTTCGAAGTCACGGTATTTGGTTTGGTGATAATATTATTTGCAAAATTATACATTTAATAAATCACAGATATTGAAAGGTTTTGTATTTAGTATTTATGAAAAAGATCCATTCACAAGTATTCTTTGGCGATTTACATGGATGGTGCTGTTTATGAGGATGCTTAAAGGTTTTAACAGTACTGTATCTTATTTTAGTGTTCTTTTCTATTCTTAATAATGAAAAATAATCTTTAATTTCTCCAAGAGCATTAAAAATATAAAATAGTTATATGCCTTTTCTGTAAAAGAGCTTCATTTCGTATATTAAATTACAACTTTCCATGTAAAAAATAATGTTATCGGCAAACTGTTAAGGTTTCTTCATAAAGATATAGAATTTTGGTAATAGTAATAGCAGAAACAATGCTTTATTTATTACCGTTTAATATTTTATATCGTTTTAAAATATGTCAGTGGAATAATTATACATTTTCTGGAAAACATTTGTTTAAAATACGTTTTTAGTTTTGATATCATATTTTTAAAATTAAGAAATTTTCAATGTATGAAATTTAACTTTTTAACATTTAATAAGCGAGAAAGAAATTACAATGAATTAATCATTAATTAATCATATTACTATTTTTTATGAGGATTGTGGCATCTATTCCTGTTCCTCGAAAGATTTCCTAAAAATTCTTGAAAGTTAAGGTGCAAAATTAATAATAATATATTCAAAATAATAAGATGGTTGACATATTTACTAGATAAATAGACATAACATTATTTAAATTTTTCCTTGAAATTAATTGACTTCTTAATTTCAAAATATTAATATGAAAATGTGTTACTTGTTTATTTCGGTATTCTAAGTGAAATTAAATGTGGTTAATTGATTAGAAAGTATTTCAGAAGTAGTTTTGAAGATTTAATAAAAATTGTGCATAATATTTAATAAAATGGCGAGAATATTTCTCAATTTATTTAATCATCTTTTATTTATTTTTTAATATACACAAATTGACATAAATGAAGGCAAATTATTTATATTAACTTTTAATTTTTTATGTCAGCATGTTGATTTACGGAAAGCTTTCTATGATTAACTTCATCTTTACATAATAAAAATTCTCTCTCGATAATTAAAAAATAAATTAATAACTTACATTTTTAATATTTGCTTGTATTGTAATAAATACATTTTTTTAAGAGTTACAAAAAAACAACCTTGTCATTTTGCATTGTCTTTTTATTGATTTTCCATTATGCTGATATTGCTTTTTTTATGTTTAAACAAGCTTGTCACTTCTATGACTTATTTGCATGCTTAAACAAAGTCATGTAATTAAAAAGATTCTGCAGTGTTTGCAATAAATCTATTTTCAAAATTCAGTTTTATTGTAGAAAGTCGTGTCATGGTGTAGGAAGTGTTTAGATTATTATTGTGCTGTACTTACCACGCACAGGCGGATAAAATCTATATTTCCTAGGGCTAAACATTTCAAAAACTGCGTGTTCCTTTATAGATCCGGTAGTATCGTGTATTGTCAGGTTTGTCGTGCGATATGTTTTTATCTTGCTACAGTAGGGACCGGGTTCGATTTTCGTGAGAATTGAAAGCGACTTTTATACTACCGTCCAATTGGCTTTCTCTTTCTTTCACTCAATCTGAACGAAAATAGTCTTACCGCAACATCATCCTGTATATTTTTATTTTTCCGGCTTTGTTATATATAAAAGAGGGTAAGTATGGCGATTTGTCATAAAATGATCTCCCAGATTTTTATATTTTGGACTCTGGACCTTGAAACGTCGATAAATGCAAAAAAAATCGGTTTTTTTATGTGTGGATTTTAGTTTGTGTGGGGGGCACAATTTTGTTTACTCTCTTCGAAGCTTTTATAACTCGTGTGTGTTTTGTCGAAAATTTCTGAAATTTTGCAGTGAAGTTTGATGATGTTACGTTTTGATGGTTAAATCACCACCAAAACTTAACAACATCAAACTTCACTGCAAAAGTTTGAAGGGTGAGAGAGATATAGGGGGGTATCGTGTGTCATATCTCGAGTGGGTCCGACTTAAATAACGATTTTCCTCGTTATTAGCATTTACAATTTTCTATAAAATCCATGCCTACGCTCAAAATTAAGCTTTTGTCATTTTATAATAATTAAAATTAAAAAAAATTAAATAATGTAAAATCTGTTATGATATTATGTTAAAAAGTTTTTTAATAGAATATCATAATAGATGGCTTCACATGTAGTTTTAAATATTGCCGGGAAAATTAAGCAACTTATTGTGGGATTTTTTTAATACTTAAAAAATGAAAGCGCATTGAAGAAGTTCAAAAATATTTTTCAGTTTTTTTAAGATAAATAATATGTCGAAGCTAGTTGTAAACGCAGTCAGTATCAAGGATGACAAAATGGACTGTCAGCTAATTCAGAATTTTATTGTCACTCCGAGTGTGCTTACTCATGTATTGCGCTCTTCTAAAAATTCTCATATATCCAAACTGATTCTACAATTACTAAAATTAATGTTTTATTTTTGCATAAATAAGAGCTTATCAACAAGGAACTATTAAATGACTTACATCAAATTTATCTATCCTTGCGCGTAAAAACTGGGTATTAAATTTTGCAGGAATTATCAATGCATTATCATTTTAAAAACTTCTGAATATATGAAACTTAATAAAGATAATTAACTGCATTCATTCAAATTTTTTTACACATAAAATACGGATTATGTAACCGTCAATTAATGTTTGCGATAAATTCATTATTGAATTCATTGATAAAAAAACAAAAAAAAAACTCTCAGATAATATAAATAATTTATATTCTGAAAGCCAATANTTCTTATTTTTATCATTTTGAAATTTGTGATTTTAAAAATTTTGTTTTAATATTTCAGTTTTTTAATAGTATTTATGGAATAGGTCCAGCCACGGCAAACCAGTGGTTCGCTTCGGGTTTAAGAACAATCGAAGATGTAAGGAAAACTTTAAGTTTGAAATCAACCAACAAAAGACTTAATTATGGTTAAGTATTTATTTTTAATATGATTTACGCATATTTATAAAATTTTTTATGAAATGTTTATATTGCCATAGAAGGAACAGGAATAAATACAGCAGTTGCCACATTACATTTAGTTTAAAGAATATTAATTTTGATATTTTTGTACTGAGTATGTCACATAAAATTGACCCCACTTGGTAGAAATGATACAAATTAATTTAGGTGAAGGACACTGATTAGAAACTGTTTCTGTACATTCCTGTACATCATCCATTCTTGTTGATATCCAGAGGGTGTACAGGTCAACATGGTGAAAAGATCAAACTTTTATACTACCCTCAGGGCTGCCGTAAGCGGGCGTGCAAGGCGTGCACCGCACGCGGGCGGCACATCCAGGGGGCGGCAAAGAGCCTTTCTGGCAAGCTCAGCATAGGTAATCATAGTTAAACAGGGGGCGGCATAATCGGTATTGCACACGGGCGTTCAAACAGCTAGCAGCGCCCCTGACTACCCTCCACTACTTTTTTCCAAACTTTCCCATCAACAAACAAATTTTTAGCCTGGATTAAAGTTAAATTCCTTTTCTCTAAAGTCTATCAATCTACCTTCGTTTAGGTTGTCCCTTTGGTTTTTTCTCTTTCATTTTGGCTTCAAATACCCATTTGGCCAGTCAGTCTTCTACTGTTTCTTTTCAAATGGCCAAACCACCTTGGATTAGTCTTGTTTACTCTTGACCAAATATTTGTTATCCTAAGGTTTTCCTTATGGCTTCATTTTTAATATGATTTTGCCACTGTATCCACCTATTAACACCACTAATAATTTTTCTAAAAACTCATTTCTGCTGCTGCTAATTTTTAGTCAATTTCCTTACTTCTCACCCAACTCTTTGAACCATATGTGAAGACAGGTTTAAAAACTGTAGACACAGCTAATTTTGTCTTATGACTTATTTCTTTCTTGTTCCAGATATTTGATCAGTTGGCTTCCTGCCTGACCTGCCTTGTTTAATCTATTGCCGATTTCCAATATGACTTTCCATCTTTGCTAAAGATTGTTCCAAAGTATGAGAACTTATTGACATGTTCTAAGCATTTGTTACCAAGTTTAACTGATAGTCTTTTCCTCTCTACTAATAGGCATAACCTTAAGTTTTCTTGTAGCTGATTGACTTACCAAAATTCCTGCAACTTTCCTCTAAATTATTTAAAGATTGCCGGAGGTCCTCGGGTTTATTGCTTAGTAGGACAATTTCCCAAACTAAAGTTTGCCAATAGTTTTGAATTCTTGTATAAAATTATCCATGAAATTTATGAATAATAAAGAGGACAATGTACATCCCTGCCTCACCCTAGTTTTTCTTGGAACCAATCACCTATTTGTCCTTCCATCCTTACAGCTGATTTGCAGTTCCTATACAGCTTTAGATTCCCCCGAGTAGAGTATCCTTAATGCACATTTCTTAAGAACTTCAAAAAGTAATCATCTAGGTACTCTATGAAATGCCTTCTCCAGATCAACAAACCCCAAGTATAATTCCTTGTTATATTCCCATGCTTTCTCTGTCAATTGCCTTACATGATGCCAAGATCAAATATTTACGCTATTGGTCTAAAGCCTGTCTGTTCTTCTCCTAGATTACTATCAACTATTCGTCTGACTGTTTTTCTAAAATGCTGGCATAAATTTTAGCTCATACACTGAGGAGTGAGATTCCTCTATAATTACAACATTCTGTTTTACTTCCTTTTTTATGAATTGGTACAATTAAACCTCTTCCCCAATCCTATGGAACAGACCAACATCTTTGAATAATATGATGTAACCACTGTACTACTGTTATTCTCCCATACTTTAGCATCTCTGGTCCGATATTATCTACACCGGCAGCCTTATCCACTTAAAAACAGATAGGATCCGACGCTTCCAAAATTTCGGTACTTTTCTCTTGTTCGGCTAAATCTGTCACTCCTTCTTTCAATAGCTGTTGAAAGTGTTTATTCCATACCTATAGAATATCTTTTTCTTTTGTTATAATTTCATCTTTATAATTCTTTATTCCTCTAGCTACAGTATTCCCACCAGTTCTGAGATTCTTTACTAATCACTGGAACATTTGCCCCCTCTTTATACTTGCTTTCTATTTGTTCCAAAATATTTTTCCAGCATCTTTGTTTAGCCATATTTACACAGTTTAGGTGTCTTACATTTAGCTTTATATTCTAACAGATTTGCTTGTGGTCTTATTTGCTATATATCTTTTATAAGTTGCCTTCTTCTCTTGTACCGCTTGTCTAACCTCTTTGATCCACCATGGAGTTCTAACCTTCCTACCTTTGCAAACGACTTCCCAACATACTATTTTTGTTGATTCTACAGTTTCCTCGAATTTTTCCCACTCCTCCTCTAAATCCATTTTGGTAATACACATGTTATTAGCTGAGGTATTAACCATATTTAATAGCATTTGGAAGATCTTATAATTTTTCTATTTTTATCTGTCAAAGCACCTTTTTACATTTCTCCTCCTAATATTGATAACAGTTTTTAATTTTCTTGGTACAAGATGATGATCACTATCATTTTCAAAACCTCTAAAGACTCTTGTGTCTTCAAATAAATGGATAATGTCTTTCTCTACAATAATATAGTCAGTTATGCTTTTCAGATTTCTAGTGTGTTCTCTCCATGTGAATTTGTGACTCTCTGTGTTGGAATATTGTATTAATAAGCACTAGTGAGTGACGAGCACAGAACTCAAACAGTCTTTGGTAAGAAAAAATCTAACAATGCCAAAACTTATCTAAAATGCTGCCATAGATGTAGTTGTCATTTCCCACTCTACTATTAAGATCTCCAGCTAGAACTATTTTTTCATTAGTATTTGTCTCTACTTCTGGGTCAGCAGTAGAGACAAATACTGATGAAAAAATAGTTCTAGCTGGAGATCTTAATACATTACTTAAACGTATTAATGTAAATTTAAATACATTATTTGGTACATTATGTAAATATTAAAAATAAAGAAAATGCTGAAAGTGGTGTCACCATCACTGTCAGCTTTTGTGTACACATATATAATCATGTTCAGACTGACTTTACATAAAATACTTATGTTGATAGCTTCAATACTTTCCTTCAGTTTGCATATACAGTGGTACCTCAGGATATGAAATTAATCCATTCCGAAACTGAGATCGTATCATGAAAATGTCATATGGTGAATCATTTTTCCCCATACAATTACATGTAAAATCAAATAATTCGTTTTAACATGAAAAACACAGTCAAATTAAAGCTAAGTGGTACATTAAAAAAAATAACTATAGTAAGGAAAACACTGAAAAATGCATTTTGTAGTTGTAAATGTATAAATAACCATAATAGAATAATAATTGATAAAAAAATGCGTACCTTTGAGGATAGACCAATGGTTCCCAATTAGTGTTCCAAAATGGAAATTGTGTGAAGGGGTACGCGCAGCAATCTAAAATCGGTCGATTTAAAATTTAAATGCATGAGATGAAGCAATCAAAAGAATAATGGGTGGACCATCAAAAATTTGGCAATTTACAACACGATGTCGAATGCACAAATTTGTTTATTTATAACTAAAAATATTCTCAAAATTTCATAAAAAAAATGCATTTGTGACAATACCTAAATGAAATTCTTACGCAAGAAACAAAAATTGTACAATTATCATTACTATCATGTCAACGAAGCGGCAATAAAATATTTACTACCATTTTGCACAACATACCTCTGTGAGAGCAGATTTTTGGCCCTGTCAAACATGAAAACTAAACATCTTTGACTTCAACTCAAAGATGACTTGAGATTGAAGCTGATCAAAAAAGCAACCAGATTTTACAAAGTTGTACAAGAAAATCGTGCACATTTGTCGCATTAAATAACCTTATGTTATTTTCATTATTATTAGAATTGTATTTTAAAGGTAATAAATGTAAAAAAAACTTATTTTATTTATCACTAGCTGTCTACCCACAGCTTTGCCTGCATTATATCGAATTTTCTCGTGGGAGTAAGATATTTTCTTGCAGTAAAATGTAGTTCATGTCCATCTCCAACATGTAAGCTAGCTCTGTACCAAATTTTATTAAAACCTGTTCAATGGTTTAGACATGAAAAGGTAACAGACAGGCAGAATTACCTTCAAATTTATATTAGTATGGATTAATATGAATTTCTGCTATAAGGGGTATGCGAGTTTGAACTCTTTCTTGAAGTGGTACACAGGAAAAACTAATTGGGAACCACTGGGATAGATGATGGTGGAGGTGTAAACTGGTTGCAGAAGAGGAGAAGGGAAATGATACTAAAACTTAACTTACATAACATAATGTAACAATAACTTAAAAATAACTTAGAAAAGATAAAAAAAATTACTGTTGTTTTATATAAATTTTTAAAAAATTTTTATTCACTGCTTTTTGCTTTCTTTCCTTCATTTCTACCAGCACTTTCACTGGATAGAGGTCGCTTGGTAAAATATCTATCCAAAGAGGTTTGGCTTTGCCTACTTTTTAAAATGTTTCTAAAATTACTTAGGCAAATTTCATTACTGTGAGCAGCAATACAGCTAGTGTAAACCTTTTTGGGATGTTTCTTTTCAATAAAATCAATCACTTTCTGATAATACATCAAGATTTCCTTTATTGAGCGAGATCCTTCCACGACAAAGCAAACACGCAGACTGAGACCAGTGAACAGAAGTGAAAAAAAAAAAAATGGCGCTGCAAACTAATGTAACGTTGTATGGTGAGTTTTTGTTCGTATCATGGAGCAAAAATATGTTTGAATTTCATGTCGTATCCTGAAAATTTCTTATGCTGGGTCACTCATATCCTGAGGTACCACTGTAGTTCTGGGATTGATCGGGTGCATTTTTCCTTTAATTATCCACTTTAAAATATACATCACTAATGTTTCATCATCCTAGTCAGGCCAATTTTAAGTGAGACTTCCTGTATAATAAAATTTCTTTTTTAAAAACAGT